ACCAGGCCCAGCCCACCACGTAGCTTGACCTCAAGCTACTGGCTCCTTCACAGAAGAGGCCAGAGCCTCCAGCAGGGCAAGGTTCAGAAATGAGCCATCCTCCCCTCTCAGAAGGTCTAAGTCACTTCCAGAGGCTCACCTGGCTCCAGCCTTGGCCTTGCCTCTCTGTGGCTGGGGTCTCCACAGTGAGCGTAGTACAGGTGCTGGAAGGAAATGCCCTTTTAAATGTCTACTTTGGGGTATGATATATGTATGTACAAAGTGCTCAAAATTCTTTTATTAATGAGGTAAGTGATCAAAAATGTTTGATGGCCACGGACTTGGGAGAGACCTATCGCCCTGTATGAGCTTCCTGCTGCTGCTATGACAAATTAGCACAAACTTAAAGTCATAAAACAACACTTCCATATTATATTACAGTTCTGCAGGTGGGAAGTCCAAAGCGAGTCTCACTGGGCTGAAGTCAGGCTGTGGACAGGGCTATGCCCTTGCATTGTTCTGACATCTGCTCCCATCACCACGTCTATTCCCGACTCTGACTCCCCTGCCTCCCTCTTACGATTACACCATTGCACCTACCTGGATAATTCAGGATTATTTCCCCACCTCGGGATCTACAATTTAATCACATCTGCAAAGTCCCTCTTGCCATGGTAACATAGTCACAGGTTCTGGGAATTAGGACGTGGACGTCTTTGGGGGCCATTACTCAGCCTGCTACATGCCCCTTCTTGCTGTTCAGCTAATAAATTTGAGAAGACCCTGCATCTGGGCCCCCACCCCCTGAGCCACAGTTTTTGGCTGGCTTTGCAGAGACCCTGAACATGGGCACCGGACCCCCCTCCTATAATTCCTGGACTCATACAACATCCTCCCAACAGACCCTCAGACCTTCATCTCCAGCCCAGACTTCTCCTTAGAGCTCCAGCCACAAACAGCCACAAGTCACTCAGATGTCTGAGTGGCATCTCCGAATTCACATGTCCCTAACTGCTCTCTTGCTCCATCCCTGTCCCCACCCCAGGCTTCCCCAGCTCCCCAGATGCCCCTCTGTCCAGCCAGAGCTCTCTTCCCCTCCTCTCTCCCCCAGTCAGCCTGAGCTGCCACCTTGTCCCCCAGGGAGGCTGCAACAAGTGACCCCTGGCTTCCACTCCTGCCCCCACCTCGACCCATTCTCCATAAGCAGCCAGTGCCAGCTGCTCGACAGGCGAGGACACCAGACAGATAAAGCCACGCCCCTCCTCAGAACCCTCCCATGGCTTCCCTCACTCAGACAAAGACTCACCTTTTGACGCCAGCCTCCCAGGTCTGATCCCGTTTGGCCCTTGCTCACCTCGCACTCCTGAGCTCTAGCCGTCATGGCCCACTTTTCTTCTCTCTAACGAGACACACTCATTTCTACCTCAGGGCCTTTGCTCATGCTGTTCCTTCTGCCTGGAATGCTCCTCCGCCTCTTCCCATGACTCAGGCAATGTCACTTCCTCAGAGAGCCCTGCCCTGCCTGCCCTTCCCCCAGCCTACCCACCCTACGTGTTACCTCACTCTGTTCCCTCAGGGCACAACCCCACAGGCAGGTCACTTGCTCACTTGCACACTGCCACTCCCGCCACCACCAGAAAGTCAGCTCTGTGAGGGCAGGGACTGCTGGTCCCCAATGCCCAGCACACAGTAGTGCCCCAGAAATGTATACTGAGCGTTATGGACTGAATTGTGTCCTCCCAAAATTCATATGTTAACATCCTAACCCCCAGTACTTCCAAATGCAGACCATGTTTGGAAATAGGGTTGTTGCTGATGTAATTAGTTAAGATGGGGTCACACTGGAATGGGGCGGGCCCCTAATCCAAAATGACTGGTGTCCTTGTAAAAAGAAGAAATTAGGACACAGACACGCACACAGGGAGAATACCAGGTGCTGATCGGAATTCTGCTACCACAAGCTAAGGAATCACCAGCAGCTCGGAGGGAGGCCTGGGACAGATCCTCCCCCAGCGCCTGCACAGAGGGCATGGCCCTGCCGACGCTTTGATCTCGACTTTTGGCCTGCAGAACTGGGAGAGAATAAGTTCCCCTTCTACACCACCCAGCCTGTAGTACTTGTTATAACAGCCCCAGCAGAGTAACCCATGAGTGAATGAGCATACAAATGCATTAGCTGGTCTTGGCCTCCAGCCTGGCCATCTCCAGAGAAAATGTCCAAGTCAACCATCATCTTACTTGTCAAAAATATGTCATGGTGTCCCTGCATCTGCAGAATAAAACCCAAACTCTATAGCATAGCCTGTGAAGCCCTGCACAGAACTTTCTTACCCAACCAAATTTTCTAAACTCATCTCCCCTGCCTCCTCCTCCAAGCTCCCTGCATCTGCAGAGGCTGCTCACCTCTCCCAGAACACTCCACTCGGCCATGTTTCAAGGCCTTTAAGCCCACTGTCCCCCTGCCTGGAATGGACTCTTCCCCAAATCCTTGCCGAACACTCCTACACATCCTTCAACATCCAGCTCAAAAGACCTCTGTGAAGCCTTCCCCGACATGCCTCACTCCCTCAGAGTGCACTGACTTCCAGCTGAAGGGCTCCCAAAGCCCTTGGTCAGGCCTCTTAGGCCATGATCTCAGCTCAGGGGCTACCTGTGCCCAGCTCTGACTTAGCCATCAGGCAATGAGCTGCTAGAGAGGGCAGGGACTTTGTCTTTCTCATCACCAACTCAGTGCCCAACAGTGCCCAGCACAGGCCCAACAAGGGCGCCCCCTAGGGGCGTGTTTGACCAATGACAGAACGAAGCACAATAGGACCCTGTGGTTTTACTGTTCATGTCTAATGTCACTCATGTATTAGCAAAGTTAAATGCACTTTGAGTGAGCACGAGCCCCCTCACTCTGCAGCTGTTGCTACTGGCAGCCCCAGGTCTGGTCCTTGTCCTGGCCCTGCCCTACCAAGGAGCTTCGTGTCTTCCACCTGGGACCCTTCCTCAAACTCGACCCAATGATGTTGAAACAGAAAGAAAGAAGATGCTGTATTTTCCAAGGACATTTTCTTCTGTCCACCACACAAATATTCATCACCACCCACACCTCACAGCCTCAAACAACATAAAAATCCACCGCACAGCACAGGGCCCAGCATGGTTCCTGGCACAACGTAGGCACTCAATAAATGCTGTGTGAACAGAAGAGAACAGACTCGCATGGCCTCCACCCACCATGATTCCCAGGCAGACATCCTATTTCATGGGTTAACCACTTCATTCATCTCCGGAGCACCTGAACCCTCCTGAGAGGTAAGGACTGGGTGTTTTGGACCTGATCTGCCCTCTAACTACCAGTCTCCTGAGTCTAGGGCCCACGGGAGGGCAGAGTCAGTGGCCTTCCAGTGCAGCACAAAGGGCAGAGGCTGAGGTCCCAGCCCCTACTGTCCCTGCTGTGCTCTTGGCTAAATAGCAGTGGCCAGAGGGCATGCCAGCCTCTCGCGCCCAGGAGGCTAAACCATCATTACTCCAGTTCCCGCCACTCCCTGGTGGGTGATGCAGAAACACCTGAGCAGCCTTCCAAGAGCAGCTGAGCCAGGTAAACCCTTGGGCACCAGGTAGAAGCAGGAAGCTAGTGCTTCCAAATGCCCCCAAGGCCCCAGCCACGCCCCAGTAGCAGGCTGCCTTCACTAAGACAGCCCGGCTCAGGTGCCCTGGCTGGCCACACCACACTCAGAACACGCCAGGCCATAACCAGACTTTGACCCATGCCCTAGCCCAGCAGCATCCTGCAGCAATGACCCATTTTACTGCCCAGACATGAGAGAAAGGAGGCCAAGCATGGAGAACTAGGCACCTGTGCACACCCATTTTCAGGACTCTGTTATCACAGGAAAATTGCCACTAATCACCTCTCGTGGCCCTTGCAGCAGTCCCATCATACAGATGTGTAAAACGGTGCCAAGAAGGGGAACAGACCAACCAAACCTCCTGGCTTTCCAAGGGCTGGAAGCAAAACTTGAACCCAGGGCTGCTGTGTGACCTCAAGCCAGGCCACCAGCCCTCACACTCTGCAGGCTCCTGGAGCCACCCTGCTCAGGGCTGAAGGATTTTAGGCGATCATCACACCCAGTGTCCTGCGGTATGCCTGACTCCCATGGCAACCTGGAAGGTGGACTGATGTAATGACACAAAGTGCACTGGCACAAGTCCTGAGACTTGGGTTCGAGTCCCAGGTCCACCACAGTAAGTAACAGCCCCTGCCCTGTCTGGCCTCAGTTTCCCCACCTGCCCAAGCCAGGGTTTGGCCTGGCCCAGAGGGTCTCCCGATCAGGGGTTCCTCTAGTCTCTGGCTTTCCTGGACCCCAAATTCATTCCTCTCACAACATGAGGCAGACTCTCCACGTGCGTCCTAATGCTGAAGACCTGTTGACGTTCGGGGAGGAGCGAATGTCCAGTCGTCCACAGGGACAGAAGACCCGGACACCCGTGCAACCCTCAGGTCCACTTGTGGGGCTGGAGTGGGTGGGGCCATGAGCTGCCCACTGGGGGGCTACTTAACAAAGAGGGGCGACCCGTAGCCCTGGGGCTTCTCTGTCTCGGTTCCTGCCGAGGGCACCTACCTTAGGACCCACGCGCCGGGCCGGGGGGCCTCGAGGGCGAGCTAAGTCTCCTCGGCTGGGCGTCCACGGGGAGCAGCGGGGCGCGCGCCGGCCCCCAGCACCGGTCCGGACTAGGGATTCCCGGAGGTGGGAACCCGCGGGGCTGGCACCGAGGGCTGAGCCCGACCCCCGCCCGGCGAGTGAACATGCGTCCCGGCCGCGCCCCCGCCCACCGCGCCCCGTCCCCGTTCTCCCCGACGACCACTGACCATAGTGACCGGAGCCGCCGGGCCAGGTCCCGCCCCAGCGAGGAGCGATCCGAGGCGGGAGGGTGCCGCGGGAGGCGCTGGCCGGCTCCGCCGTGGGGTCGGGTGGCGGGGGCGTGCGGAGAATACACCCGACCGCTCCGCCAACCCGAGGCCGACCACTGACCATAGTGACCGGAGCCGCCGGGCCAGGTCCCGCCCCAGCGAGGAGCGATCCGAGGCGGGAGGGTGCCGCGGGAGGCGCTGGCCGGCTCCGCCGTGGGGTCGGGTGGCGGGGGCGTGCGGAGAATACACCCGACCGCTCCGCCAACCAGAGGCTAGACCTCCACTGTGTCCCAGCAAGACACACGCCCCGCGATTGACGTCGGAGGCGGGCAATCAGAAGCCGGATCATAGGACGTCACAGAAAGGGGGTGGGACTTAACACGCCCTCAGCCTATGCTTTAGGGCTCATTTGACAGGATGCCACCCCCTTTTAAAGACACAGAAAGCTTTTAACTAGCAAAGGAGTTAGCCCAGCCTAGAAAGACAGGTCCTCGTTTGTAAAGGCTGAAGGGCTTTTGAGCAAAACTGCAAACCGAAGTCTTCTGCAAGATGAGCTGGCCCTCATTAATTCATAAACAATGTCACGTAAGTATAGTTTGCTCAAGATCAGACGACAGGCACTTAGGAAACACGTGTCCAGTAGCATGAAGCTACCTGCTTGCCCCTGTGTGGCTTCTAAGTCATATTTTACCCCCTTCCAACTCATGAGTCAGTAGGTTGCCATGCACCCAATTAGTATTTGTTGAATGAATGAGTTTCCAGGATCGTTGACTCTGGTTCTGGAATTATAGGGCGCTATATATATATACATATATACACACATATATATACATATATACATATATATATATATACACACACACACACACACACACACACACACGTGTATATATAGATGAGGCACAGACTGTGAACCAGGTCTGGGTGACTCACACTGTGTACAAGCTCATTATTATCGGACATCAAACATAGAACTATTTATCGTTCAACGATGCCCTCACCAGCCCTTGACCCCTGGAGGAGCTGCTTTGGGTCCGGGAGGGAGGGTTAGTGGAGAAGGGGGCTCGAGTGCTTCGATTGCACCTGTTTTACCAGGAGGAACACTTCTGTGAGTGTGCATTAAGCAATTCCCCTCCCCTCCCCTCCCCACCCCACCCACACCTCCCCTGCCCCAGGCACCAGGCTAGGCCCTTGGGCAGACAAACATGGTGTCTTCCAAACACGTATCATTTACTGGGTGGGGAGTGTGGGGTCAGTGGATGCTCAGGAACAGTAACAACAGCAGCTGCCTATCACAGTTATACAGTTATGCAGAGCACTTGCTGTGTACCATCCTGAACTCACAGCATAGATTATCTTACTTATTTTCTCACAGCTAGTTTATGAGGGTAGGTCTTGTTATTATCATCCCTATTCTACAGATGAGGAAACTAAGGCACAGAGAGATTAAGTTACTTGCCCAAAGCCACACGGCACGCAGGTGGGATTCAATCCCAGGCAGTCTGAATCCTGAGCTGGTTTTGAATTCACTCCACATGTGATTACAGGGGCCTTGTACCTACACACCCTTATTTGCTTTGGGAGGTGTTCTGCTCTTTTTTTACAGCTAAAGAAGCCAGAAAGGTGACAGGAGCAGCCCAGTGCTGCTTAGCTAAGAAGTGGCCCAGCTGGGCTGGATCCCCAGACCTCTGACTCCATCCAGTGCTCAGGATGTGTTGTTAGGCACTCCGTGGAGGAATGACCCAGCCAGATTCCATGGGGTGTGGGTATGCAGTATAGCTGAGGAGTCTTTTCCAGCTGAGATTTCTAGAAGTCCTCGAGCTGGGCCACACTAAGCCTGAACCCTTGGCTCCCGTCCTCCCCTCCCCAGGCCACAGCAGTTTCAAACCAAGCTGGCACTGGTGTGTGGAAGGACCACCAGGCTGGAGTCCTCAAGAAAACTTGGGCCCTGGCTCTGGACTCTGCCACACACCACTGTGTGACTCAGGTGACTCCCAGGCCCTCTCTGGGCTTCTGGTTTCTCAATGAGAGGGGTTGGACAATCTGAGTGGTTAAAAAAAGTTTTTAAAAACTATTTTTAGTAGTGAAGCCTTTAAACAAAAGCAAAACACAGCCTTACCAGAATCTCATTATGTGCATGATGGAATCTTTCCTCAACTGCGCTCAGTTAGCAGGAAAAATGGAATCTCTTTTGTATGTCACTGATCAGGATTCTTTCTGAGCTCTCTAAAGGCTGGTTAGAAGAGAAAAAAAAAAAGTTTAAGAAGGGCCTAGTCGGTTTTCAAGCTGGGTGTGAGTTGAAAATGTGAGAAGTCCCTTTAGGGGCCACTGTGTGGCCAGGATAAACATGTCCTTCTGGAATGATTGGCTTCACCTTCCTGCACCCCTTCTACCTGGGTGTGGGGGTAGGGGGCTGGCTGCTGTGGCCTCACAGGTCTAGAGAAGAGTGCGGCCTCACGTGTCTTGTCCTCCAATGAAAGACTGAGCATCCGGCTGCTAGATGCCCAGGACTTTGGGGCTGGGCACTGCAGCCCATGTGATGACTCGTCTGGCCTTTCTCAGGCTTGTCACACTCAGAAAGCTCTCTCAGGTTAACCCTATCTCACTCTCTACAATGGGCCCCAGCCCACCTCTCTTGCCCTCTCTCTCCCTGACATCCCCCATTTCTCAATACATGAGCTCAAGAGGATGGCCTCAACTGCCCAGAAATGTCCCCATGCTTTTGGTCCTCAAAGCATCTTTGCTCTTTCTGGAATGCCCTTTTCACAGCCTCCATTTGTCAAATCCCATTCATCTTTCAAATTCTGGCTTCTCCTCCATGAAGCTTTCCTGGATTGCCCAGCTGCCTCTGAATTTCCACACCATATCTGTCCTCCTATGGTGCTGGTCCCTTGCCACTGTGATGGCGGGGAGCAGCAGGACGTGGTAATTAGGAGGGCGAGCAGTGGCGTCAAGTATATTTGAGTCACAGTTCCCATGGCATCACTCCTTGAACAAGTCGTACTTCTCTGAGCCTCAGTTTCCTCATCTATAAAGTAAGGGCTTTCATTCCTGTCTCAACAACTAAGTAAGATGATCATGAAAAGCACTTGGCCCTGTACTTGGTATCTGGTAAGTCCTCAGTAAATGCGAGCTTTGCATGGTGGTTATTTAGGGCCTGAGTCTTGTTCATCCTGGTGTGACTAAGCTAAAGGGACAAAGTAATGATGAGGCCTGAGACTGAGGCCTTCTGGTAGCTGGTTTAGATTTGCATACGACAGGGAGGAACCCCAAGGAGGTTTGAGCCTGGGTACCTGAAAGGGGGGTCATGTGCCCTCTCCCTATCAATGACATGAAGCTGTGAAGAAGGGATTTGAGGCAGCCACACCATGTGGCAGTTGGTGTTGTCACGCCGGCTCATATTCCCGGTGCTCTTCACATGGTGCTATTTCACGCGCTTAACAACACTACCTGCACCCTGAGAGCTGCAGGCCAGGTGCTTTGCAGGAGGACCAGGCCCCAGGATGCAGAGCGCTTCACCTTCTTGCAGAGTGCACTTTGAGTTTCCCCTGCTGGATGTCAGTGCTATCCTCTTGCAACCTTGAGCTGGAAAACTTGTTGAGATTCAAATTCAGGTGTTGTTTCACTGCTGGGGAAGGTCAGGAAGAGGAAGGGCTAGAATTAGCCCCCTACACTTCCCCCATCCTCCACCCCCAGGGAGCAGAGCTGAGGGCCAGACCTGGAGTCAATGGCTGCCCTGGACCCCACCCCCTGGGGCAAAGTTGAGAAGAGGCTTTTGTTTTTGAGAAACAACGATCTTTCCAGGAAGAACAATGGGACTTGGGGAATTGGATAGTGGGGAGATGGATCTGACTGAATACGGAGAACTTTCTGGAATCGGAGAAGGGTGGAAGCAGGTGTCCCAGAACAGAGGGGACTCCAAGTGCAGAACAGGTGACTCCTCAGTTGCATGTCACCTGTTGGACCCTGAGAGGAACGGTCTGAACTCTCAGAGGGAACTGAGGGAACTCAGACCCCTGGCCTGGTGAAGACCCCTTTGTCCCTGCCTTCAAGGCGCTGTGTTTGTCTGGGCAAGGCTGTCGCGGCAAGATCAAGACCGTTCATTCAACATTCAATAATGATTTACTGCACGTCTGCCACGTGGCGGGCACTGACCGCGCACATCGCTGCACACCACTGACACAAGTCACTGCCTCACTCGGCTTACGTGACAGTGGAGAAGTAGCCTCCAATTATTCTGCACTGAGTTGCCCAGGACCACATAACCCCAATGGGGTGGGGGTGGGGGTTGGCAGCCCCCCACGAATGATTGAGATTTAATTTTCCACCAGCTTAGGGAGATGGGACACACAGAGAGAGTTCATTTTAGTGGGGAAAAACAAAAGGAATGTGGTATTTCTTGTCCCTCAGAGAGGGTCCAGGAGAGCCGGCTGCAAGAGAGGCTGCTCTGACGATTCAAATGTTTAAACATGGCCCACAGCCCCGCTATGGTAATAGATGCGCCAATCTTCCAGCCGCCACTATGTGTGGGCTCCCCAGAGCCTAGGTTCTGAAAGCTAACATTTCCCTAGTTTGGATGGCAGCATTTGTACCCACACAGTCTCCTGAGCTGGTAGGAAACAGTCTCTGGCATCTACAGGAGGAGAAGCATTCACTGTGGTTTACAGAAAGCTCAGGTCAGTGGGAGGTCTCTAGATTTGGAGACAGCCGCCTGTCCTGCCCCATCCTCGCTTCTCTATGGTGGGGACAGGGAGCCTGGCTCCTACGGGCAGCTGGAACATGTCCTAGCTAGGAGACTCTGGTAAGGTTATGTGACCTCTGTAATTGGTAGTTTCTAAATGGACTCCAGTGGATCCCCGCCCACCCCCTGCCACCATTTCCTGTGTTCAAGCCCTTGAGTGCGGTGGGCTGCACCTAGTGACTTGAGTCCAACCAATAGAGCACAGCAAAAGTGATGGAATGTCATTTCTGAGATTAGGTCACCAAAAGACGGCAGCTTCTGTCTTGCTTGCTCTCTCTCGCTCTCTCACTTGCTGTGTTATGAGCGGCTCTCTGGAGAGGTCTATGGGGCAAGGAGCTAAGAGAGACCCTTAGCCAACAAACACCTGTGGGCAGACACAAGTGGGAGTTTGGAAGCTGCTTCTTTCCTGGCTGAGCCTTCTGTTGAGACTGCAGCCCTGGCCAATAGCTTGAGCAAAGCCTGTGGAGGGACCTTGAGCCAGAGGACCCAGCTAAGCCATGCCTGGATCCCTGACCCACGGGAAT